TCCAAATCATGGGGCTATGATATGCAGTACCAGGAATTTGAACTCAGGTGTACCAGCTGCAGAATCACTTCTTTTCCAATGTGCCGTGTTTCTTGGGGCCTTACATGCTGATTTCTTATGCACCATACCCTATCCACCAAGCACCAGACACCTGGGCTGGAGAGCAAGGGCTATAATCACCATCTATCCCACTCACAGACCTTCACTGGTTCCTAGGTGCTTCCAGGGGTCAAATCCAGACTCTTGGCCTGACTTTCAAGGTCCTCAGAGACTGGGCTGATCTCCCATCACCTCATTCTCAGCTCACCTTGTGCATTCATCTCTCTAACCAGCTGAACTACTTGTTGCTTCTCATCCATCCTTAGTGCGGAAGTCAGACCTGGTACCTGGGGCTACATATAGCCCTGGACATGTTCCTCTGGCCAACACAGTATTTCATGTTGTTACGTTTATCATCAGTATGGGATCATGCTCTCTTCCCCCACCAAGGATTATAATTCATTACTATCATTACTTATTTTGATGTTCAAATTGTTCCAGATTTGGCCAAGAGAAGAAACCCCTCCAATCTGACTTTTGTGTCCTTTCAATATGTCACATGATTCTTTTGGCATATCCTTACTTTCTGGCTCAGTAAGATGGTCCAGGCTCATGTTGTCATTTCCCTGTCCCAACACTGAGACTCAGTCATTTCTCCAAGAAGTCTTTTTTTTTTTTTTTTTTTAAGTAGAGAATGGTATTTAGAAAGCAAGATCTGGGTACTAGGTGCTTATTGTTAGAGGGGTGTCATTTTTTGTAGCTCTCTCAGCAGACAGCACTATGAAGTGTATTTACACATGGTGTTTATAATTGAGGAATTTCACTTAAAAATCTGGACTTCCCTCCTCTTTAGAAATCTGAGTATCTGATCACGGTCAGCAGGGAAACTGGCAATAATTGGTTGGAGCATGGTAGAGGATCAATAACATTAGTGTTCTCACTAAAGCATGTATTGAATGCCTTTTGTGAGCCAGCCACTGTGTTAGATAACATTACTACTAATATCTGGTAATATGTATTATGAGACTGTAGTACTCTAGTACCCAGTTTTGCTTACCTTATACAGTTGTAGGCAGTAGAGTATTAATTTCTGGTCGTTGCTTTTAATTGCTTTCTTCCCTCTAGCTGCAAGGAAAGCTGGACATCCTAATACATCCAACTCACTCAAAGCCCAACTCAAATGTCACCTCCTCCTTGAAGCCGCCCCCAGTTTGCCCTATTGGTGGTCACATCTCCATTCTATAAGCTTTACACCCTTCTCCTAACATTTACCACCTACTATCCTGAATTATAGATTTTTACTCCATCTACTCTTATTAATATTCTTTCTTTTTTTTAAGATTTTATTTATTTGACACAGACAGAGAGAGATCACAGGTAGGCAGAGAGGCAGAGAGAGAGGGGGAAGCAGGCTCTCTGCTGAGCAGGGAGCCCGATGTGGGGCTCGATCCCAGGACCCTGAGATCATGACCTGAGCTGAAGGCAGAGGCTTAACCCACTGAGCCACCCAGGTGCCCCTAATATTCTCTTTCTGATAAGGAGACTATATACTCCTTGAGGGCAGGGGCTGTGTCCATCTTGCCTGTAGTATGTTCCTTAAATATTAACATCAAACCTGGCATTCAAAGACAATTTCCATCAGAAACAAATACTTTTGAACCTCCTATTTCATGTTGGGTAGTGTGTATATGGCAGATAGTGCTGATATAATTGTGAGCAGAACTAAGAGAGTTACGTCCTCACAGAGCTTATTTGACTGTTAGGGAAGATATTAAAATCATATCATATCATATATATTTATAGGGTGATTTAAAAAACAAATGATGGGGGTGCCTGGGTGGCTCAGTGGGTTAAAGCCTCTGCTTCAGCTCGGGTCATGATCTCAGGGTCCCGGGATCGAGCCCCACATCGGGCTCTCTGCTCAGTGGGGAGCCTGCTTCCTTCTCTCTCTGCCCGCTTCTCTGCCTACTTGTGATCTCCATCTGTCAAATAAATAAATAAAATCTTTAAAAAAATTTTTTTTAAATGACGTATATTTGCACTGTTGTCCCCTGTTGACTTTATACATACACACATACCTTTAGAAAATATATGGTACTGATGTTTCGTTTTCCATTTCAAGGGTGTCTTTTTTTTTTCAGCCCACAGTATGTCTTGCAGAGTTGAATAGGTTTACATCATCGTTTTTAAGTGATACGTAGTAGTCACGAGTATGGATATTTCATTTCCCTATTGTTGGACATTTAGAATGCTTTCGGTTTTCGCTTTTGCACTACAAACAAGGATGCAACAGGTCTCTCAGTGTAGTTACGCTTGTTTATCTGGTAGATTCCAAGACATCAAATTGTTGGGTCATAGGGTTACTTCTCTTTTTCATTTTTTGTTCTGAACACATCTGATCATTGGAATTCATGCATTATTTTTGTGATGAAAAAGTAAAAAATAGAAAGAAGTAGGTAGATTTTTTGTGTTGTTGGCTCTTAGGAAGTAGAGGTGCCTAATCACTGTCACGTGACTGTTGTTATATAATCTGCTAATCATTATGTAATGAAATCTGAAAAGGATGCTTCTGTAATTCCTCATCCCCAAGCAGAGAAATCTCAGGCCTTCAACCCTGTCTAAAAGATGAGAAACACAGCTCTCTACAGAGACTTTGGGCCCTCTCTGATACAAAACATCACCGCATATCAATGACTAGGGTTTCCTACTAGTAAAGCCTCCTTAAAAATTTATTTCCCTTTTGGCTGCCACAGAACCACAGATTGGTAAGGGGCTTCTTAATAGTCTCATGCAGTCTTGTAACAGTTTTGAGTTGTAGCAAAGCCAGCAAGTTCTGTGGTTTTTCCCAGCTGAAATTCCTATAAACACCATCAATTGCAAATGATTAAACAAGGAGCTTAAACCTGAGCTGATAAAGGGTGAAATACACAAAGACCTTGAATGATGCTCAGAGAGCAACAGATATAGTCATCACTGCTCTTTGAACAGCATGTTGCTGGTTCTCCACATCCTTCCCTGTGTATTGTATCACTGACTCCTCTGAGACAAGATCCGCTGACTGTAGCTAGGGACACTAAGGCTAAGAGAGAGAATAGTGCAATCAAGGAGCATCTGTTGGGCACATCCTGATCAGAAATGTGCAGAACTCAGGGGATACACAGATGAGACAGATGAGTAAGGAGTTCCAGGTCTTCGGGGGGATGTCAGGCTTAACATGAATGAATGAATGGATATACGTATACATATATGTATATGTATATGTATATGTATAGAAAGGAAGAGATGAGGGAAAGAACACTTACACTGAGAAAACAGCATATAGAGGCACAGAGGCCAGAAAGGTAGAAGAGCAAGATGGAGGAAGAGAACATGGCATGAAGTGGGCTCTGAGTCTCTCTTTAAAAAAAAAAAATAATAAAGATCTTATTTAGAGAGAGAGAGAGAGAGAGAGAGAGCAAGAGCTGGCAGAGGGAGAGGGAGAGAGAGAATCCCAAACAGACTCCTGGTTGAGCACAGAGCCCCATGCAGGGCTCCAGCTCACGACTCAGATCAGGACCTGAGGTGAATTCAAGAATCCTGTGGTTAACTGAGTGAACCACCCAAGTGTCCCACTCTGAGTCTTCAATAAATGTCTAGGGTAAGTTAGAGAGAGAGAGAGAGAGAGAATGATGATCCGATCGCAAATATTTTGGACAAAGTCTTGGGTATGTGTTAGGCACTTTGCAAGCAGTAAGGATTCAGTGAGTGGTGAACCACAAAAGCTGAGTCCTTGGTGAGCTCACGGTTTGGTGGGAGTAGAGACAAATCCATGAAGTGAAGTGACAAGCCACCATGACTGATGCCAGTGTAGACCATGCAGGTACCTCCAGATGTCTGGTGAAAAGTTACAAAGCAAGGAGGCAACACCTTGGCTTGGACTTCCTCAACGCTGGCTTCCATTTAGGGAAGTTGAGTGCAGAGAGAGGTCGTTTTCTTTGACTTAACCAGGTTTTAAAAACAAAACATACTTGGAGCTTTACTATATGCTAATTATGGCAATAAGCATTTTCCATGTGTTAAATCACTTAACTCTCACATGGATGCCCTCAGGCGGTATTATTAGTATTCCATTTTACAAGTGAAAAAGCTGAGGCTGAGAGAGGTTAGGTAACTCGCCCAAATTCACGCAGCTAGTAAGTGGCAAAGGCAAAGCTGGGAGCCCCGTTCTTAAAGAAGGCCGGTAACATCAACAGTCCTCTCCAGGCTAGATTTCATTTCGCATGATGCTGGGGATCTCACTTTCTCTCTTTAAGCCTCGGCATTTGCGTCTGTAAAATGGGGCGAGGGCTCCAACTGGTAGCTCCTGCTCAGGCGCTGTTGGGAGCGCCGCTCGCGGATCACCTGGACAAGGGACCCGTCCGGGAGGCGGAGGCCGGGGTCACTCAGTCTGCGCTCACAGTCCCAGCCTCCGCCGCCCGGCTCCAGACCGGTTACCATGACAACCCGGCCAGCCACCATCCTGAGGCTGGCTTGCGTCACGTCCGGCTCGTTTGTTTCCGGGTCTAGCCCCAGTCGCGGCGGCGACCCTCCAAGCCCTAGAGCCGGACTCCGCTACACCTCTGCTCATTCTCCTGCCTCCCGCTTCTTCCTCCGCCGCCCGCAACCGTCGGCCTCTCCCCGGCGCAACGCGCAGCTGCGATCCGTCCTCTCTTTGGTCCCGCCTCCGAAGGACGTCACTTCCTGGACGAGTGTTTCCGGGTCATCGTTTGTCCCGGGGTACTGGCCTCGGTCCCCTGCAGCCGGCCGGGGCGACGAGAGCCCAGGCGGGCCCGGCTCCGGCGGCGGACGCGGCTCCCTCTGGATTTCCTCGGCCCGGGAGTCCTCGGCGACAGTGCCGGGGTGAGTGCGGGGCGGCAGCGGGCGGAAACGGCGTCCGGCGCTTCCCAGGGCAGAGGGGGCGCCTGACGCGGCGGGGCTTGGCCGACCCGGGGGTGGGGTCCCCTTGCAGCCGGCGCGGGCGACGGGCGGCCCTGCCTTTTCGGCCTCCTGAGGGCCCAGCTTGTCCTTAGGATCCTCACTCCGCCGAGGGTTGCCTCGCAGACTCCTGGGACCGGCCATGAGTGGCTCAGGGCAGCTCAGCAGGAACACCCCCTCTTCGGGGACTAACCAAGCGGGAGGCCACCCTGACTCCACCGGGATGCAGTTACCGCGCAGTGGTCCCCAGTCTAGTCTCTGGCAGCAGATCTGGGTTTGTACTCACTGTGTGACCTTGGACAAGTCATTTCATCTTCTGAGCTTCATTTGCCTAATTAGTTAAATGGAAGTGAACGTGCCTAAGGCTGTGGTGGGGATCAAATTAGATGATGCTTGTGAAGCACCGTCTCTGGCATACAGCAGGCGTCCTATAAATGATAGCTGCTGTTAATTCATTCATGCACCCAGAAAGGGTCAGAGTTTGGGACTGGGTGTTTTTCACAACCGGTATGGCCCTCAGAGGCCGTAGGAATGACCAGGTTGGGAATAGCAGCCGCTAGCTTCTGCCCCTGCGGGGAGGCGAAACTGCTTCCTTTAGAGCCCCTCTGCCAGTAAGGAAGCCCGTTTTCAGCACCACTGAGGTTTTATTCAGAGGTTTGCAAGGCCTCTGAATTTCTCTGGAATCTGATTGGGGTCTGGAGACCCTCCGATGTTTCACAACCAGTGCAGCGTGCCTTAGATGTATGTGTCTCAGGAGCCTTGGAATTGGAATGAGTGCAGAGGAGTGACGGGTTAGGAGGTGGAGGGGTTGAACTGCTTGCTCTCCTCTCGGAGCTCTTTGCAGGCTGAGGGAACTCAGAGCTGGCTGAAGCTAGACCAGAGATCTGTAAACCTGTGGACTGGGGCATTGCTGGGACCAAAATAGCTGTTGGCTGTGCAGGGAGGGGGCGCCTTCAAATGCTGCTTGGGGAGCATTCTGCTTGAATGGGCCAGTTGAGGTAAAGCCAAGCTAATGCTTTGCTACCCCCAGATCATTTCAGTTCCTTTCGGTGAGGTTTTAAACAGATGCAGCTTTCCTTTGAGATGCTTAAAAAATAATCTTTAGAAAGATAAAAATCCTTAAAAAGCCGCTACCTCTCTGACTACATATGTAATATTTCTCTTCATCGACTTGTTTTTCAAAGGGAGTCCAGATTGTGGGTGCAGGAAGTGCTGACCAGGCCTGTTGGCTTTGGGCACCCGCCTGACGCTGTTAGGGATGTTCACAGTGCCAAACCGCCCCCCCCCCCGACCAGACTGGCACGTCATGGTGTTCCAATCCTTGGGTTGCTTGGAGAAATTAACGGCTTCTGTCATTGCGCTGTCTAGTCTCCTGTAACCACGCTGTTTTTACAGAGAGTGTGTTTTTTTATTGTTCTCGCAGAGTGCTGGGAAAAAATTTGCGGGCTCTGTGCTCAGAACAGACACCAGCTATGACCAGCTACAATGCAGCCTGTTTTCTCAGAAAATGTATTCAGGAGGGATGATGTCAGCTGCCTCACCACTGGCCGGTTTCTGGCCAGCCTCTTCCCTTGGCCCTTGAACTTACATCATAAAGAGATTTGTGGCTCTTCCAGCCCCGTTCTGTGTGGGAAGATGTGAATTTTGCTACTATAGGAATTTTTAGAACTTAACTCTGCTCGGCTTGCCATAGGGTGTTCTAACTTAGCCTAGCCCTTTCAAGTAGAGCTGTCCAGCAGGTGCCGCAGGGCGGCTTTGTCTAGAAGCTGCGTAGCTCAGAGCTTGAGTCAAGGATTTGGCATTGGACTTAGGTTCGGGCCTCAGATCCACTTCTGCCTTGGGCCTCAGGGCCTGCCAGATTCAAACTCCAGCTCTGACCCTTGGAGGCTCTACTGCGCAGGTGGTTTCATGGCCGAACCTTGGTTTCCTTCTAATGTCATGAGGGTTAAGTGGGATGATGCAGTTAAAGCCAAAGGCCCTGTGCTTAGCTCATAGTAGGACCTCAGTGATTATTCGTTCCCTTCTCTTTCCTTACTTATCTCAGCATTCATTTCCTTTCACTTGTTTCCTCACCTGCCTATATATTGGTTCAGGATTCATCATAGATTGGTTTCCTTTCCTTGACTTTAGGATTTGGAATACCAGTTGGGCTATTCAGATCCCTTTTCCTTGTTTATTGTGCGCTAGCAGCAAACAAGGGTGTGGACTGTGGTGTGATTACAGAGCAGCAGGCCCTGAGCTTGAGGGTGGCTGACTTTGTTTAAAAAAAAAAAAAAAAAATCCGCCTCTATAGGCTCAAAGCTGACTTCCTTGGAGAAAAACCACAGCAGTATTTAGGAGGCTTGATGTCCCTCTGTTTAAATTCTTATCAGATGAACAAAAAAGTAGTCCCTGGGACCAGAGACAGGATGGAAGTTTCTCTTAGATGAATAAAAAATGGTAAATACATATGCGTTTTCTTTTCTTTCTTTCTTTCTTTTTTTTTTTTTTTTAAGATTTTACTTATTTATTTG